AACTGCTATTTTCAATGACTACTTTTTTTTGTCCAGCTTTAACATCGGTATTGATATCGGTTATCGGCTACATGAGTTTTAAAATAAAAAGATATCGGCCAAAATCCCAATATCGTGCATCCCTAAAAAAAAGCTAAAGAAAAGTTGTGTGTTTGTATTTCAATTACTACTGTGAAATGGGTGATCTTATGTGGAGTTGAGATTTAAAGGACAACAGCAGTAAAACACAAAAAGAAAGCAACCTTTATGAACATCTGCATCCCAAAGATGCTGTACAATAAATGTCTGGCTCAAATTGACAGCAGCAACAGCAATGACAAAAAAACAAACAAAAAAAAACAGCTGCCTACTGTATAGAAGATCCTATTCTCAAGAGACTCAATAGATCATCCATACTCCATGCAAGCTCACTAATGACATCAGCAGGAAAGCTCGGACCCGAAACCCTATGGAGAACAGCACAGCCTCGAAACATCTGGCAAAGTAATTGAGGAAACACCAAGAGGTCAGATTGCATTTGGAATGGAATGGAAAAGAGGATGCAGGGTAGAGGATGCATGGTGGTGGTGGTGGTGGTGGTGGGGGGCGGGGGGGGATTACATACGAGGGCATACAGAGGTTTTGTCTTATTTCATCTTATTTTTTGGTCCAGGTGTTTAGTTGCAGCGATATAGACAAAATTGGAGACAGAAAATGTTCTGGGTTCTTTTCTTACCTCCTGGATGTGTCATTAATTAGCCCCTAGAGCCACTTTGGTAGGTTTCTTAGTCCAACAATGGTCCACTTCTGATTTATTGTGTGGGTTGCTGGATTCTCAAAGCCTAACAAAACATTTTTAAAACCCTTTCCAGACAGACAGCTGTCAGTAATATAGTTTCTCATGTTTTCTGGAATTTGAGATTAGGGGGTGATAAACTGCTTTAAACCGACTGTGTTGGCAGACATGTTCCATTTATGCATTTCTTTAAAATCTAACATGAAGCACAAAATATGAATAAGCAGTTTATTAAAAAAAACGGGTTAAGGTGTTTTCACCAATCGTAAGGTTGGCTTGGATAGGTTCTTTCGCTCTTAAAGGAAATCATTATTTGAAAAAGGTTTTTGTTATATATTCAATATTTTTCTTTGTCTAATTTTAAACTTTATCCTCCAAAAAAGTAGACAAAGATTAAAAACAACAACAAAAAAAAGGAAATGGCACTGTTTAATAAAGCCGTAAGAATTAACCTTTGGAGAAAACCAAAAGTCACCAGTACCATCGCTAAACTTAATACAAAATAAGTAAAAGATGATCGATTAAAGAGCAAAGTAAGAGATCTCACTGGTCATTGGCATATCAGAATATATATGCCAGTGACCAGTGAGATCTCTTACTTTGCCCTTTAATAGATCATCTCTGAAAGTATAATTGGTGTTTTTTATCGCGTAATAGTCTACATTTTATTCCTGTAGATTTCAAAACATGAAAACATGATTACTGTAATAATCTGCCTTTAGTTTACCAGCTGGTGATTTTAGATCTATCTTCTTTTTAACTGAGAGCAAAGAAAAATGTATCTTGTTGATCCTTGATCAATACTGCAACTCATCTCTGCTTTGGCTTAAAAGAAACATCACAGAAGTTGGGAACTTTCCTCAATAACGAAGATCTTCTCTATTTTCCAGGCCTTTTCACTGCTCCAACAAATGGTCGCTACCTGGTGACAGCTGTGCTTGCTGCCCAGAGAGGCCAGAATGTCAAGGCTGTGCTGTCTGTGTCCAACAACAGCGTTCAGATTCTGGATTCTGCAGGCTTCTCCTCTGAGGCCACAGCGCTGTCTCAAGAACGATGCAGCTGCAGCGGCTTGACGTCACTGAGTCTGGTTCTTTCGATGAAGCCAGGAGATCGAATGGGGATCATTCTGACCGATGGGAAACTTGCCATTTCTGACTCCACACAGACCTTGTCATCTTTTAGTGCTGTGTTACTGTACAACAGCCCCATTACACTGTAGCTTGTGTGGCTTTCTGCAACACCAACAGCTGAGATCAAGTTTTTAATTAAATTATCATAAAATGGTAATGCTGTATTTAAGTCAAGTGCAAAGAGTTGAAAACCTGTAAATAAAATGGTCTGCATTAAGGGCCTGATCTAGTATCATCTTAAATAAAGAGGGCTAAAACTGCTTGTGCAAAAAAAAAAAAAAGTATGTTTAAATATTGGACGTATTTCAGAGGAATTACTAACATTGCATGTGCAATTGAAAACAGGTGCAAAAGTGGTGCAAACATCCCTATTCTAAAGAGGTTTCTGCATCTGATACTGGCTGTCCATTTAGAGAGTTTGGGACAGCAGAGTGGATTTATTTAGCATGTTCCAAAGGCAGGCGCAATCTGCAGCAGAACCCTACACAGATTGCCTCTATGATCACTGTGTGGAGAAGATGCAGGCAGTTTGGAAGTTAAAAGATCTTTGTTAATTTGAAAAAAAAAAAAAATACTTTTGAGAAATGAACATGATATATTAGCACCTGACATTTGGATTATTCTGACTGTCGGAAAAGGCCAAGGTCATTGCTTAATTTCTTGAATCCACCCTTCTGATAAATAAAGAATTTACTATAAAGACAGTAACAGTTTGCAATTTTAAAACAATGACACAGAAGAGAAACTCCTTTTCTCTCATTGTTGATCATCATGCCTAATACACAACATGATTAATCAAACAGAAGGTGAAAGTCGCTGCTGCATATTTGTAATTTTCAGTGGCTACAAGATAATATTTCATAAATGAAAATTTACTACCCATTAAACACCCGCCACTAATCTCTAAATTGGCGAACAGAAAAACTTATTTTAAGGGGATGCCACTCACTGCAGTGGTTTGAAGGAATGATCCACCCAGACAAAACATGCTGTGCTGCAATGCATGTTTTCATAGGATAGTAACTCAAAAACAGTTTTGATCTATATGCAATTTCTGACAGCCCATAAATACTGATGACTGGCTGTAGGATTATCTCCCTCTGTCGCCTGTAACTGCACCTATGCCTTCTTCTTGCCATAATTACAGAGAACATTGTTGCATGCCAATTTGCACTTGCAATACATATTCTACACAGAACATGTGCCTGCAGTTTGATTCAAGTTTGATCAGTTGCTTGGTTACTAGCTTTGAACGCTACAAAGTTTGCACATGTAAACTTTTTTTGTAAACACAAACCTTTAGTACTGTAGATCAGGCCCTTTAAAGGAAAAGTCCGGTCAGAGTCTGGGAGCGGCCATTTATGCCCATATATAGTAACACCTCACTTATGACATCTTCCGGCAGTGATGTCACGGTGCGTTAAGCCCAGGGCCATTCTCTCCGCTTTACAAGCAAAATCAATGGGAACTAATAGACAAATTTGCAATCAACAACACTTATTTTAGATTTCGAGAGGACTTCACCTTTGAAATTTGTGAGAACTATTGTTAAAGTGAGAATGGCCACATGCATGGCATTTAGATGTTGCAATACATTGGGTAAAAGGGAAAAAAAAATTAGTTACTTCACCTTTCCCATTTATGATCTATGAGTTTGTTGTTGGATTGCCATCTTGAAGAGAGAGGATTTTCCATCAAACTTGTGGCCAGAGAAAAAAAAATGTAACATGTAGCAAACATTTAGAAGAGGAGTGTTTTCAATATGACTTGGATAATAGCCTGTGTGGCAAACACCAGATAGAGCATTGGGATTTGATCAACAGCCGATACCGCACTGTGACGTCATAAACTGGGTAGGTGACAGTAGTGTTCTTTGACAAACATGGATGTCTCTGGTAAATCCCATTCAAATAAAATTACTCTTAATTAAAAACACTTATCATTTATTGAACAGTATGTAATAGCTTTATATTTAAAGTACTTTCAGAAGTTTGAATTCTGAATATGACCGGACTTTTCCTTTAAGTACTAATATATATGTTTGACCTTCTTTTTTTTTTTTTGCTTTAAGGGTTTAAGAGAATACAAAACACACAAAAAATACTTCTAGTAATATTAAAAGCAGCATTTTTATTTAACACTCTTTCAAGATATGTTTTCACCATTTAATAATAAAATGGCACAGAAAAACGAAGTGTACTATCTATTCTTAAAATATATACAGCCCATACAGTTTAATGCATTTTTGTTTTGTTTTTTTATTTCATTCTAGCAATAAAAAACTGGGTACCCACAAGTTGGTTTGAGTAATCTATAGAAAAAAATGTATAGTAGCTAAGATCCTTTATTGGATAATAAAAGTAAAGTTTCATAAAACTATTATAAATATAAGTGTGGCCTCTTCACACAAAGTTTTACTTTCACAGAAAGAATGCTATCAATTGTAGACAGTTGTTACTAATAACAGTATATAATCAAGAAGAATCTGGCAAAAATAAATAAAAACTAGTGCCCTTAATCAAAAAAGACCAGTGAACCCTGAGTATAACTATAGATTTACAGAAATATTTATCAACTAGCAGCAGAGTATACAATCATTTTTTTGAACGAAAACAAAATTAAAGCAGTTTCATAAATCTAATTGCATCCTGTTTTTCTTTCTCAGCGCATCAGTTGGAACAAAAAGTAAGGCCTTAAGGGGACTGTTAACTCTTATTATGTCTTTACAACAGTGCTTAGATTACGACGGAGTACTAGGGCCAGGCTAGAGATTTTTTTTTCCGAGAATAAAGCCGTAATATGAGAATAAACTCAAAACATTACGAGAATAAATTAGCAACGAGAATAGTCAAAAAATGAGGAGAATAAAGTCACAACGAGAATAGTCATTAAATTATGAGAATAAAGTCGTAACATTTCCACAATAAAGTTGTAAAATAACAAGAATAAAGTCGCACAATAACGAGAATAAAATCATAATATTATGAGAATAAAGTCCAACTATTATGAGAATAAATCATATTGGGCAGTATGTCATAGTGGACCGAGGTTGCTGTTTGGTGGATCTGGTCGGCCGTCATATACTGGTCGGAGCTCGAAGCTTTTTTTCTGAAACGGGTTGTGGTATGATGAGTTCATTCTCGTAATATTACAAATTTATTCTCGAAATAAAAAGACAATAAAAAATCTCTAGCCAGCCCCTAATACTCCGTCGCACTTAGATAGCTTAGCTGTATCATAAAGTCATTTTAGTAAATGTTTATGTGCACAATTTGGCACCAAATATTTTTTCTTGGAAATAAAAAAGTGCAACAACAGAAAAGTATTACCTTTTTTTTAAGTTTGTAAACATCTGATCAAAGATTAATAATAGAAATCTGTGTGAAAAGCTCATAAGCATTTTTAATTTACAAGACCAAAGCGCAGTCTTTACACCAAAATGATCTCTAATTGAGCTCATCAATCAGATGTTGGGGTGCAATTAGAAATACAACAATATGACATTCCTGATTATGGGTTTAACTGTCAGGCTAACTGTCATATGTTGCTTTGTTATTATTATTTGCATAAAGAAACAGTGGAACATATTCTTCTCAAAAAGTTTGTTAGTCTGAATATTTCTGTGCAGCTAGCAATGTGCAGAGAAACAATATGATTCTAAGGAAAATCAGCTCATTTTAACGTGTTAAATACTGATTGCTGTAAAAACTCCAACCGTCCATCTGTCCAAAGTAGAAACATCTGGAATGAATTAGCTTTAGACTTTGAATTTATACTCAAAATTTGGCTAAAAGGAATCGGTAACCCGAGAAAAATGAGGCTTTAAATGTACAGTATGCAGTTTTGACAAAACATGTGCATATAGTGGGTTTTTTAAAAAGTAAAGCCAACTTCTAATGCTTCATATTTGATATATATTTAGAAATTCCTCTCTAGGAGTATGACACAGAAAAGCTGTAATTTCATGAAGACTCTAAATGTAACATAACATGCTTCATTCTGATTGGTTGGTTTGGTTGGACCAAATCAGCTGAAGAATATGTAAATTGAGTTTTACATAGAGATTTCTAATTTCTACCTATGTTCAAATGTCAAATAATAAATATTCAACAGTGTTGCATGAACCTCCATCTATGTGGCATCTAACTCCATGGTTTTCTCCTAAAGAATGTTTAATTTAAAGTTATTTTGTGCAATCTGTGTGGTTTAAGCATTAAATACTGCAAACTACTGACCCTACTGCATGCTTCGAGATTTAGGAATATAAAAATATATCCCTGATATATCAGCTACATCAGAAAACAAGTTCAAGATGCTATGTTAGCAGCCTGTAAGTTAAGGAATTAAATCAGTGCATTCTTGAATTTACAGCAGCTCCTCGAAGCACACCTCTGCGATCGGCTGCCTCCAGTAACAGAAGGAGCTGAAGTCCGGACAGCTGAAGGTGGCGCAGTGCTTAGTGCTTCGCAATGGGAAAACATGCTCCACCAGCTCACTCAGCCTGCTGTAACTGTCACATTAATATTTGTGTATTACAAATGGGCAACACAAGGGAGACTTTCAAACATTTGTAACAGCTGACAAACATAAAGTCTGTGGTCGTTACTTACGAGGTTTTATTGCCTTTGGATTGCTCAAGAATCAACTCCCCCTTAGGATTCACTGTGAATATCCGACATGCAGGCACACCCACTTGTTTGTAGGCAAACACGTCCTTATGAGGAAAAGAACACAAAAGGAAGAGGGGTTATTTTCACAAAGTAAAGAAACTCTAAACTCTTACTTTCCAACAATGCAGGAACCAAAATAAGGTAACTCACATTTTCCCTGTTTCCGAAGGCAGCATAGAAAGGTTGACTGTTAAGGTGGAAGAGGTTCTTGATGTCTGTTAGGCATTCGATCTTGAACTTCTCAGGTTTTTTCTCAATGACCTCTCTTAAGGGAAAAAAGTAGAAGAGATGAATCCTCTGAAATTCTAGTATTAACACTAAATTCTGATTTAAACAAAGTTGTAATTTACACATTATAATTATATCTATATATATAGGACAATATTCTGACGCAGATGCAGGTCTTATCTCTGTAAAATTCTGCTCACTCTAGAGAGAGGCTGAGGATTTCTCACCTGTGGAAGGCAGAGAACAGACTGCTGGGTGAGAGCATGAGAGGTCCCTGAGGAAGGAGAGTGCCGCTGTCGTTCACCCAGTGCAAGTACCCCCGGGTCATGTCGGCCATGCCGATGGCTCGCGCCGAGCAGTACAGGAACTTGTAGCCGTTCCTGCAACAGTTAGATGCTCAGTGGCTAAGTTGGTTCAGTTCAATGTTTTTATGAAAGGACGGAGGCAGATGATGGGTCTTACTCATGCACTGAATTGTAAAGTTTGGCGATTCCCCGATGAGTCCAGTCTTTGCCAAGTTGGGGGAGAATCTGACCAAAAACATCAGATCTATGAAGAGAATGTGAGAGTTCAAATGTTTTTATGGCTATGTTTCCTTTCACGACAGAAAGTGCAACAACGTTCAGCTATGAATACTTTTGAAAGCAACGCTTTCTAAATAGGGCTGTGTATCAATAAAAATTACAAGACTTGATTCAATTGCGATTTTCAAGATTTAGAATAGAGTCTTGTCTGATCTCAAACTGGACAGCTGGTATTGAAAACACGTTTTTAGCCGATACTGGAATTACTTGACTGAAGTTATGCCCCATATTGATACTAATGATATATTAGCGTTTAGCAGCAAATCTGGAAGTAATGGTAGTTTATTGTGGCTGAATGGACAGAGTATCTTTTTATCTATCTTATTTGAACTGCTTTTTAGGAATTAATATGAGAATTTATCCAGAATAAAAAAAAGTATCTCTTTTTAACAAAGCCCTATTTTTAAAGTCAGAACAATTTCATTTATTTTTTAATAGATTAGAGTTTCACTGACTGTTTAGCAGGTGACTAGATCCAGCCTATCTTGGAGTGGAAGTATACACAAATGCTTTATTGTCTACAAATCTGTGAATGCATAAACAATCTAAACAGCTAATCCAAGCAAATAACTGCATATTAATTATGTGTATATCAGAATATTTTAAATTCAATTGGTTTGACCAATGATTGGCTAATCAGAAGAACTACATTTTTGTTTTAAAATCTGTTAAATCACCACTTAATTGTGAATATTTTACTATGTAAAGATAACTCAAACCTATTTCAAATAGTTTCTCAATATTAAGTTGAGGAATGCACAAGGGATGCTAGAGCAGAAGCAGGCGATCAATCTTAGCCAAAGGAAACAGGTTTGAAGCTGGAGCTCAAATAGTACATTGGAAGTACAGTTAAATAATATTTTTATGAGCTGATAGTCGTTATAAAAATCATGTAAAAAAAAATGTAAAAATGTTTTTGTATTTTGTTACACATTCAATTTAATCACCTAAATACAATCGTTGATCCCTGAACAGGAATTCTGTCACCTATGGATTCTCTTTTTAGCATTCTGGTACCTTCATCTGTGGCAGAAGCTGAAACTGCTGCAGTTAGACACAATCCAACAGGCTAAATAGCTTTCTGATATGCAAAGTGTGCATACAGTACATGAGTACTGGAAATAACAACCATAATATGTCACATTTCAAATTGTCGTCCAATTGATTTTCAAAGTTCACACATGTTAAGAAGCTAAGGTATTTATGCATCTTGTCTTAGTGCTGTGGGGAAACATGAAGGTCTAGTTTAAGTGGTGTAAACTGCTTCAGGGGAGGGATTTTTTGTTACGGTAGCTTATTATTTCGATTATATGACCTTTATATGACCATTACTAGACGCTGTCAGTTATTGTTCCTCAATGGAATTTAACGGTATTCAAAACAAAAATTAGAAGTTTCAGACAGTCACAGGATGTGGAAATTATAAATATTCCAGCTAACCGTAACCCATGCATCACTCTTTAGAAAGCTTTTTTTTCTTTACCATATTTTAAACTGCTTTTCCAAAAATTACATAAAAACAAACAGAGAAGTATAGTGTGGATATTTCCCGTACTTGGTGATGGTGCCATCTATGTCGGAGATGATGACCTTGTCATCCCAGTTCCACAGGTAGATGGTGCCCTCGCAGCGACATGTTCCCTGATACTGAGTGGTTATGCTGAATGTGACGTCATTTGGTCCATCTCTCAGCTTCAGGCTAGCCTGTAAAAAGACGCAAAACAAAGACGGGTTCACAAACTGAAAAATACAAAATTTACAGACAAAGCTCATGTTTATGGAGCCAAAGATTAGAGTAACCAGGAGCAGAAAGCCTTTACTGCCAAATGGTGTTTTACACGTACAAGGAATTTGGAAGGAATTAGATAAGGCATTACAGATTAAGAAACATATGGCTACATTAATGAACTTGGAAATATATAATGTTGAATGAACAAATTCAAGTGGATAAGAAATACTACAAGAACAGAGAAAAGTTGTGCAACTTTTTTGCTGAGGAAGAGCCCTATGGCAGTGATAAAAAATATACAACAGGTAGTAAAATGAAAAGTATTTATATGTGTGGAGATATTTGTATTATTTACAAAACTGCATAGCAGCAATAACAGTAATTAACATCAGAATGCTGTTTCCGTCTAACGGACACAGTTTGGACCGTTAAACTTACGATCTGATCAGACGACAGGCGGAGGGATTTCCTGTAGGAGTGACATGGAGCCGTGCCTTCTGCTCGCACGTGTTCAGTAGGTTTAAGACCTGGCTCTGCACCATTCAGCTCTTTGGTCTCCTCATCACTGGACCACTCTGGAGCCTTCTGCCTACATGACATGGACCGTAAACAATTCTGGTGAGAAGTTGAGACATTACATTACATACACACTCCGCTTCGTTTTTTAAAGATATAAATATAAAAAATATAACCGCGGATGTCTGGGGCACAGTGATTCGCCTACATGTTATGAATGCTGGCGTACCATAAAGAATAAATTATGAACAGTTCAGTGTGTACCTTCAAGTTGTTTGCTCATAGGAAGACGTTACTTGGATATAACGGAATATCTTTAGAACTGCTCCAAATGATACAAAACTCATATGGGTGAGTAGAACATGATGTAACAATGGAAAATCAAGGCCCCAATGTAAAAAAAAAACAGCATTCCCCTTTAAGCTAGAATGAGGAGAGGAGCCTGTTATTGGCTAAATATCTTGTACGGTAATTGTTATTTTCATTTTATTTGCATGTTGAGAAAAGTTTAAAAAGTATTTCTGATTTTGTGTTTTTGTGTATATTTTGAGCCTCTATGCAGAATTCTGTCCTCTAGTTTAATAAAAAAATGAAACAAATCTTGTTTTGAAGAAATCTTTGCTAGGGTTACTTTTGTTTTTTTTGTGTGTTTTTTTTTTTGCATAAGCATTTCATGCTGAAAGAAAAACAGCTCAAATACACAATTTCACTTTAGTAGACTGGTAACACCTAAATAAAAAAATAAATAAATAAAAAAAAAAAATATATATATATAAATATATATATATATATATATGATGATCAGGATTAAACTCTGCTTAGTGTAAAATCAGATCAAGTTGCAGTGTCTATTCCAGCCACCAGATGGCAGCACATTTACTCATCTATGTTCAACTCATTTGATCTCTTCTATTCAAAACAGCAAAGGTGTATTTAATTACATATCAGATTTACAAACTGAACACCTTTCCCTAATAGTGATGAGTTGTGTGTGTTTAATCATCTATTCTTCATATCTTTGTGTCTTAGCTACTTAATGAGTTTATTGGTCATGTGTTTATAAATCACAAGACCTCAGGACTGACTAATATGCTAATCCATCCTCTGAGGGACATGTTTACCAAGGAAGGCTCATGTTGTTTTGTTATTGCAGAGTTGCTAGGACTTTGAATGCAGGCCGGTTGCTGACTCACTGTGTTTCTGGGGCCCGGAGTGCAGGACTCTCTCTGCTCACTGACTCCTGTCTCTCCAACTTGCTCTCAGTTGATAACTAAGCAGAGGAAAAAGATTACATAAATATTTAAAAAGAGAGAGAAAATAAAGTGTTTGTCTGACGAGATAAAGTCTGTTTATAATCATATAAAACAAAGATGAAACATGCTACTGAGGCTTTTGAGTAACATGTTCCTCATTTGCAATGCAAACTGGAACTCCACATGAGTCATTAGGCTGCACAATCAGATATGCTGGAGTGTCCACCTGCTTTGTGCTGCTCTTCCTCCAGAACCACCAGCGTCCAGACTTCTTGGGCATTTTCTCCTTCACCCAGGCCTCTTCTGTATTCTGCAGTAAAAAAAAAAAAAAAAAAAAGTTACGAGCAACTATCCTTCAAGCAGCTCAAGTTAAACACATAATTAAGCAGAATACCTTCGGCAGGTTTTTCTGGAAAACTTGCATGCTGAGAATCAAAGGTGCCGCTAGAGTCCAGTTGTAATATCTGAAAAAATAGAGATAATTTTAACCCTAATCTTTAGATGTTAAGAAAAAATATGAATTTATGATGTTTGTTGAATTAATGAGACTCGCCTGTTTCCAATTCTGACCACCAAGTTTGGATTGTCGATAATTGCTGGATTCTCTGCAAAGTCATTGTAGGTGATCATGTGCTCCATGAATTTTTCTACACAAAAATGAACAGATGTTTAGCCAACAGTGCATTATACAAATTTTATGAGACACCAGATCAAAAGAATGCCTAGTACAGTAAAGTCCAGCTTTGATAACCTTTGAAAGCAAATTCTTCCAAGATCATAGGTTATACTCCCTATAACCTAGACTTCAAGAAATGTATCCTACACATTTATTGAAACATTTGCATTAGAGATCCGATGACGAATGCAAACTTGTCAAGTAATCTAGTAGTCGATTAATTGTGGCGTATACAGACTATAAATGTGCCATTTGCTGAAGGAACAATCAACTCCGAGCAGAATTTAAGCCAATAATACACAAAATATATATAAATGTTATTTTAAACATGAAAAAATGTCTTTATCATTAACTACTCACATAACACAGTCGGAGAAAAACAAACAAACAACTTTGTTCAACTTTGTCCAATCCAAAAATATTTTTTTCTTGCTATAGTAAACATATCGTTGATTCTCTGTCTTTGAGAAGAAGTGGAAGAACAAACGATCAAATGTGGGCCAAGAAAAACTACACTGGTTGCTGATGAAAACTGAAACAAATATTTTATGATAAAGACAATCAGTCACCTTTTGGGATCTCTGAGTTCTCGCCCACGCCTCCACACAGCGATAGCGTCACATCAGGCAGGTCACTTGGAGAGTCGGACAGACACTCTGTGCCACTGTCTGCTGCTGCACTCCCCACTGACTGGGGCGACTGGGATCCAGAGCTCCGTCCCGTCTCCACCCAGTTCTTTGATACTTGCTCACACTCACTGCGATATGGATAATTATATAAGTTAATGCTGGCTGATGATAATGCTTGTTAAATACACCAAAAACCCTGAGAGCTGCATTGAAAGCTGAGCTTCCCACCTTTTTGGGAAGTACCGAGCAGCAACATCAGGCTCAAGAGCGCTCAGGTCTTCTAGGTATATATCTTCAGGCCCTTGGTGTTGGCTCCTCTTCCTCACAACTTTTCCAAAAAAGAAAATCAGCAGTGTTTCAATAGAAATGACTGACTTCATCGGGTTTCACTTCCTTTTTCTTTTTGACTTCTGCATGTGAACGTAGAGGAGGCCCAAAACAGAGTGTGAACCGAGGGCCCAAACAGTAACCACATCCTGCCTGATAACAGCCACTTACATTCAGAATGGATGTAGATGTCGTCTCATACAGAAATATGAAGGAAACTTGAACCATTCAGTGAAGTTTAAACCCCTGAGACAGAAAGGTAGTTACCTTTTCTTTTCACAGGTGAGTCTGTGGTCTTAGATGAGGCTTTAGTATCAGGACCACCAGTCGAAAGGTCTCCAGCTTCTTTGCTTCTTGTACCAGGAGCAGAAATGCTGTTCCTGCGATTTGGAGGTGAAGATGTCCACTTTGGCTTTCGTTCATTTTTTGAACTTGAGTCTGAAATTGTTGGAGTTGTGTCAGAGGAAAAGCTACTCGACTTCAAAACTGAAAAGTCGTGCTTTGGTCCAGTGGTGTTTGCACTGTTTGATTCAGGAGGCTGAGGGCTGCAGCTGCACTGATGAGGTTTAACCATCCGAGGTTCTGGCTTCACAATATTACAAGCAGGCTCTGGTGAGCTCTGCTTTATGATCGGCTCTTCTTCCAAGTCCTCAGAGCTCAGAATGACCCTGAAATGTGTGCTCTCTGATGGGGTGATGCACAGCGTTTTTGTCTCAGGCTTTTTGTTGACCTGGACACAGTAAAGGAAGGTAAACCATGTCAATATTTCTTGTTAAAAGCCGCTTTAAGTCAACCTTTTTTATTGGTGTGAGCATGAATTATGTTCAAATGTTATGACCCATACCCTTGTTGATTCAGGAAGCTCCCCCCAGCTCCACTGCATGTGGGACTCAGACCTGAACATGCTCTCTGTCGGCTTCACCATCAGCTCAGAGTCACTTTTGGGCGACGCTGGCTCACACAAATTACTAAAGTAAGCAAAAAACACACATTTCCACTGAGTCAGCTTCAAGGTCTTAAAGTGAGAGTCTTCTTTCTTTAATTTTCCTGTTCTTTTTAAAGTTATACACAACTATTTCCATGTTTAACAGTAAAGCAACACAAATTAGTAAATGATTGTGAGGTTAAAAAAAAAATCCTAATGCAATTTAAAGTATCTCAGAAATATGATGAAAGCTTTGTAAAAACCATTTTGGGTAATGCACTTAGCTTCTCCCATATACAGGCTGTTTTTTGTCTATTTTTCTTACTCTGATTTGATTTAGAGGATCAGTAAACCTCAATTTTTCAAGTCAATTTATATGTTTTCTGCAGATGTTTTATGTTTATTGCAGAAATGGTACAGAGGTAAAGATTGGGACCCACATGTGGAGGCATTAGTCTCGACCTGTGGACCTTTACTGCATGCCTTCCCCATCTATTTCAACACCATTTCCTGTCAGCAAAGCTTTTATATAAAAGGGCACTGGGGGCCAAGTAAAGAATTCTGTAAGAAAACCCCACTAAAAGCTTGAGTTAGTCACACATTGTTTTGCATGTAGGTGTAAAACTTTACTATTGATAACTTCTGATTAGAACACCTTCCTCCATGCCTTCTCTGACCACATATTACTTTCAGACATTGCTTTCTCCTGGCCTTAAAGGCTAGATGTGAGGTTCATACATAATTGCTCTTCTAACATAAACATTCTTCCACAGGAGCAGTGGATCTCTGCAGCTCACCCAGAGTCACTAAGGGGCTTTTAGCTGCTTTTCTGATTAACATCTGATTGACGCATTTGATGCAAAGATAAAATTGCAAACAGATGTGGTTTACCCTTTCCCTTCACCCTCACAATTTGTTATGTTCTACCTCATACGTTTTAACTTAAATATTTGTTGTGATAAGACAACTGGCCTGATCTTTACAGGGTTTGCATTTCCTAAAACAGCTTTAAACATGTTCATACACTCAGAGCAGATCTTCAAAGAAGGTGCAAAGCGGTTTGCTTTTGCAATTCAAGAGCCTTCATTGATATGCAGATCATATTCTAAAGAACAAATTGCACAAATTCTTGGATGGAGGAAATGCAAAAGTCAACATTCACCTCATTCAAATAAATTTTCCTAATCAGAAACTCAACTACTGTTGCAATTTTTTTTAACCTTTTTTGTGTAGAACAGACAATCTGGTCAACAAAACCAAATCGGTCTGAACATGTTGACATTTGCAAAGTGATCTTTTTAAATCACCCACAACACTCCCACTTATTGCACATACTAAAAAATAATTGTAGGTACATTTTAGCACCACCTAATCTGAATCTTTGAAGATCAGGTCCAAAGTGTGAAAAATGTCAGGAGGAATACAACTTTTTCCATGCAGTGTAACAAAACACATAAGCTGAGAAGTTCATACAAGGGGCAGGGAGACCAGTCTCCATCAGAAAAAGGGTAGCTGTCCCATTCCAAGGCGGTGAGAGGAGAGTGCTGCCTTTGCTCCATGTTGTCTTTCATCCCCGACAGGGATGATGCTCTAAATAAAAATACATAATAATTAATAGGATCGTAACTATATATTGTCACTAAACGGCACAGTTTAGGTTATGCTCACCTTCCGCTGTTTGCATGCTGCTCCTCATCTGAACTGCACTCACACACCTCCTGCTCTGCTCCTGCACATGTCTGCTCCTCCTTGCGTGGCTCAGTTTTGTGCCTCCTTCGTCGACGTCTCTTCTTCCTTCCAGATGAGCTTGAGCAAAGTTGATGGTTTGTTGAGTCCGGCTCTAGGACAAGGGGCTGACAGGTCTCTGCTGATGCTGCACATCTGGCTTCTCTGTTCCTGATCAGAACCTCTTCCGTGGGAATGGGTGATGTCACCAAGTGGGCGGGAATGTTTTCCTGTTTCAGAGACTATATTTACACACTGACCACAAACAGACACTGCCTTGGAGAGGTTTTCAAACCCTTTCATTAATTTGTACCGAACCAGTACAATGTCTTGCCTCATTGTAAAGTGATAAGAAGATTATACATAATAAGAAAAGCTTAGACTCTCTTCTCTCTGATATCCCAAAGACACAGCCAAGAGGCCTATGGTAACTCTGGAGGAGCTGCAGATCTCCACAGCTTAAGTGGGAGACTGTTGACATGACATTTACTAAACCTGCTCTGCACGAATCTAGCCTTAATGGAGAAGCAGTAAGAACAAAGCAACTGCTAAAAGAAAGCCAAAGGAAGTGCAGTTTTTCAAACACAAAGCAGATAACAAATCTGTGGCAGAAGGTGCTCTACTAAAAGGAGACCAAAATGAGACTTTTTGGCCAATATATGATTCTCTTATCACAAAGTAATAATGCACTTCCTATCTATAGTGAAACAGCGGTTTCTGGCCCCGATACCGATACCCAATACCTGGCTTGCAGTATCGGCCGATACCGATACCATAATAATGTAAAATAATTGCCATCATGACTTTGTCAAGCTGCTGCCTACCTTTGTGAAGCAGGAAAAAATCTAATACAAAGTGAATCCAGTAGAACTTTTTACTGCCTACCAGGAGTGGGTGACAATAGTTGAATAAACTTATGGCTCTCAAAATGGTATCGGTGCCCTATTTGTTGGTACTCGCCATTACTGATACCACCATTTTAGGGTAGTATTGGGGCCAAGTCCGATACTGGTATCGGTATTGGTGCAACACTACTAAATACTGGGCAATCCTGGAAGAAGACNCTTTTTTGCTGAGGAAGAGCCCTATGGCAGTGATAAAAAATATACAACAGGTAGTAAAATGAAAAGTATTTATATGTGTGGAGATATTTGTATTATTTACAAAACTGCATAGCAGCAATAACAGTAATTAACATCAGAATGCTGTTTCCGTCTAACGGACACAGTTTGGACCGTTAAACTTACGATCTGATCAGACGACAGGCGGAGGGATTTCCTGTAGGAGTGACATGGAGCCGTGCCTTCTGCTCGCACGTGTTCAGTAGGTTTAAGACCTGGCTCTGCACCATTCAGCTCTTTGGTCTCCTCATCACTGGACCACTCTGGAGCCTTCTGCCTACATGACATGGACCGTAAACAATTCTGGTGAGAAGTTGAGACATTACATTACATACACACTCCGCTTCGTTTTTTAAAGATATAAATATAAAAAATATAACCGCGGATGTCTGGGGCACAGTGATTCGCCTACATGTTATGAATGCTGGCGTACCATAAAGAATAAATTATGAACAGTTCAGTGTGTACCTTCAAGTTGTTTGCTCATAGGAAGACGTTACTTGGATATAACGGAATATCTTTAGAACTGCTCCAAATGATACAAAACTCATATGGGTGAGTAGAACATGATGTAACAATGGAAAATCAAGGCCCCAATGTAAAAAAAAAACAGCATTCCCCTTTAAGCTAGAATGAGGAGAGGAGCCTGTTATTGGCTAAATATCTTGTACGGTAATTGTTATTTTCATTTTATTTGCATGTTGAGAAAAGTTTAAAAAGTATTTCTGATTTTGTGTTTTTGTGTATATTTTGAGCCTCTATGCAGAATTCTGTCCTCTAGTTTAATAAAAAAATGAAACAAATCTTGTTTTGAAGAAATCTTTGCTAGGGTTACTTTTGTTTTTTTTGTGTGTTTTTTTTTTTGCATAAGCATTTCATGCTGAAAGAAAAACAGCTCAAATACACAATTTCACTTTAGTAGACTGGTAACACCTAAATAAAAAAATAAATAAATAAAAAAAAAAAATATATATATATAAATATATATATATATATATATGATGATCAGGATTAAACTCTGCTTAGTGTAAAATCAGATCAAGTTGCAGTGTCTATTCCAGCCACCAGATGGCAGCACATTTACTCATCTATGTTCAACTCATTTGATCTCTTCTATTCAAAACAGCAAAGGTGTATTTAATTACATATCAGATTTACAAACTGAACACCTTTCCCTAATAGTGATGAGTTGTGTGTGTTTAATCATCTATTCTTCATATCTTTGTGTCTTAGCTACTTAATGAGTTTATTGGTCATGTGTTTATAAATCACAAGACCTCAGGACTGACTAATATGCTAATCCATCCTCTGAGGGACATGTTTACCAAGGAAGGCTCATGTTGTTTTGTTATTGCAGAGTTGCTAGGACTTTGAATGCAGGCCGGTTGCTGACTCACTGTGTTTCTGGGGCCCGGAGTGCAGGACTCTCTCTGCTCACTGACTCCTGTCTCTCCAACTTGCTCTCAGTTGATAACTAAGCAGAGGAAAAAGATTACATAAATATTTAAAAAGAGAGAGAAAATAAAGTGTTTGTCTGACGAGATAAAGTCTGTTTATAATCATATAAAACAAAGATGAAACATGCTACTGAGGCTTTTGAGTAACATGTTCCTCATTTGCAATGCAAACTGGAACTCCACATGAGTCATTAGGCTGCACAATCAGATATGCTGGAGTGTCCACCTGCTTTGTGCTGCTCTTCCTCCAGAACCACCAGCGTCCAGACTTCTTGGGCATTTTCTCCTTCACCCAGGCCTCTTCTGTATTCTGCAGTAAAAAAAAAAAAAAAAAAAAGTTACGAGCAACTATCCTTCAAGCAGCTCAAGTTAAACACATAATTAAGCAGAATACCTTCGGCAGGTTTTTCTGGAAAACTTGCATGCTGAGAATCAAAGGTGCCGCTAGAGTCCAGTTGTAATATCTGAAAAAATAGAGATAATTTTAACCCTAATCTTTAGATGTTAAGAAAAAATATGAATTTATGATGTTTGTTGAATTAATGAGACTCGCCTGTTTCCAATTCTGACCACCAAGTTTGGATTGTCGATAATTGCTGGATTCTCTGCAAAGTCATTGTAGGTGATCATGTGCTCCATGAATTTTTCTACACAAAAATGAACAGATGTTTAGCCAACAGTGCATTATACAAATTTTATGAGACACCAGATCAAAAGAATGCCTAGTACAGTAAAGTCCAGCTTTGATAACCTTTGAAAGCAAATTCTTCCAAGATCATAGGTTATACTCCCTATAACCTAGACTTCAAGAAATGTATCCTACACATTTATTGAAACATTTGCATTAGAGATCCGATGACGAATGCAAACTTGTCAAGTAATCTAGTAGTCGATTAATTGTGGCGTATACAGACTATAAATGTGCCATTTGCTGAAGGAACAATCAACTCCGAGCAGAATTTAAGCCAATAATACACAAAATATATATAAATGTTATTTTAAACATGAAAAAATGTCTTTATCATTAACTACTCACATAACACAGTCGGAGAAAAACAAACAAACAACTTTGTTCAACTTTGTCCAATCCAAAAATATTTTTTTCTTGCTATAGTAAACATATCGTTGATTCTCTGTCTTTGAGAAGAAGTGGAAGAACAAACGATCAAATGTGGGCCAAGAAAAACTACACTGGTTGCTGATGAAAACTGAAACAAATATTTTATGATAAAGACAATCAGTCACCTTTTGGGATCTCTGAGTTCTCGCCCACGCCTCCACACAGCGATAGCGTCACATCAGGCAGGTCACTTGGAGAGTCGGACAGACACTCTGTGCCACTGTCTGCTGCTGCACTCCCCACTGACTGGGGCGACTGGGATCCAGAGCTCCGTCCCGTCTCCACCCAGTTCTTTGATACTTGCTCACACTCACTGCGATATGGATAATTATATAAGTTAATGCTGGCTGATGATAATGCTTGTTAAATACACCAAAAACCCTGAGAGCTGCATTGAAAGCTGAGCTTCCCACCTTTTTGGGAAGTACCGAGCAGCAACATCAGGCTCAAGAGCGCTCAGGTCTTCTAGGTATATATCTTCAGGCCCTTGGTGTTGGCTCCTCTTCCTCACAACTTTTCCAAAAAAGAAAATCAGCAGTGTTTCAATAGAAATGACTGACTTCATCGGGTTTCACTTCCTTTTTCTTTTTGACTTCTGCATGTGAACGTAGAGGAGGCCCAAAACAGAGTGTGAACCGAGGGCCCAAACAGTAACCACATCCTGCCTGATAACAGCCACTTACATTCAGAATGGATGTAGATGTCGTCTCATACAGAAATATGAAGGAAACTTGAACCATTCAGTGAAGTTTAAACCCCTGAGACAGAAAGGTAGTTACCTTTTCTTTTCACAGGTGAGTCTGTGGTCTTAGATGAGGCTTTAGTATCAGGACCACCAGTCGAAAGGTCTCCAGCTTCTTTGCTTCTTGTACCAGGAGCAGAAATGCTGTTCCTGCGATTTGGAGGTGAAGATGTCCACTTTGGCTTTCGTTCATTTTTTGAACTTGAGTCTGAAATTGTTGGAGTTGTGTCAGAGGAAAAGCTACTCGACTTCAAAACTGAAAAGTCGTGCTTTGGTCCAGTGGTGTTTGCACTGTTTGATTCAGGAGGCTGAGGGCTGCAGCTGCACTGATGAGGTTTAACCATCCGAGGTTCTGGCTTCACAATATTACAAGCAGGCTCTGGTGAGCTCTGCTTTATGATCGGCTCTTCTTCCAAGTCCTCAGAGCTCAGAATGACCCTGAAATGTGTGCTCTCTGATGGGGTGATGCACAGCGTTTTTGTCTCAGGCTTTTTGTTGACCTGGACACAGTAAAGGAAGGTAAACCATGTCAATATTTCTTGTTAAAAGCCGCTTTAAGTCAACCTTTTTTATTGGTGTGAGCATGAATTATGTTCAAATGTTATGACCCATACCCTTGTTGATTCAGGAAGCTCCCCCCAGCTCCACTGCATGTGGGACTCAGACCTGAACATGCTCTCTGTCGGCTTCACCATCAGCTCAGAGTCACTTTTGGGCGACGCTGGCTCACACAAATTACTAAAGTAAGCAAAAAACACACATTTCCACTGAGTCAGCTTCAAGGTCTTAAAGTGAGAGTCTTCTTTCTTTAATTTTCCTGTTCTTTTTAAAGTTATACACAACTATTTCCATGTTTAACAGTAAAGCAACACAAATTAGTAAATGATTGTGAGGTTAAAAAAAAAATCCTAATGCAATTTAAAGTATCTCAGAAATATGATGAAAGCTTTGTAAAAACCATTTTGGGTAATGCACTTAGCTTCTCCCATATACAGGCTGTTTTTTGTCTATTTTTCTTACTCTGATTTGATTTAGAGGATCAGTAAACCTCAATTTTTCAAGTCAATTTATATGTTTTCTGCAGATGTTTTATGTTTATTGCAGAAATGGTACAGAGGTAAAGATTGGGACCCACATGTGGAGGCATTAGTCTCGACCTGTGGACCTTTACTGCATGCCTTCCCCATCTATTTCAACACCATTTCCTGTCAGCAAAGCTTTTATATAAAAGGGCACTGGGGGCCAAGTAAAGAATTCTGTAAGAAAACCCCACTAAAAGCTTGAGTTAGTCACACATTGTTTTGCATGCAGGTGTAAATCTTTACTATTGATAACTTCTGATTAGAACACCTTCCTCCATGCCTTCTCTGACCACATATTACTTTCAGACATTGCTTTCTCCTGGCCTTAAAGGCTAGATGTGAGGTTCATACATAATTGCTCTTCTAACATAAACATTCTTCCACAGGAGCAGTGGATCTCTGCAGCTCACCCAGAGTCACTAAGGGGCTTTTAGCTGCTTTTCTGATTAACATCTGATTGACGCATTTGATGCAAAGATAAAATTGCAAACAGATGTGGTTTACCCTTTCCCTTCACCCTCACAATTTGTTATGTTCTACCTCATACGTTTTAACTTAAATATTTGTTGTGATAAGACAACTGGCCTGATCTTTACAGGGTTTGCATTTCCTAAAACAGCTTTAAACATGTTCATACACTCAGAGCAGATCTTCAAAGAAGGTGCAAAGCGGTTTGCTTTTGCAATTCAAGAGCCTTCATTGATATGCAGATCATATTCTAAAGAACAAATTGCACAAATTCTTGGATGGAGGAAATGCAAAAGTCAACATTCACCTCATTCAAATAAATTTTCCTAATCAGAAACTCAACTACTGTTGCAATTTTTTTAACCTTTTTTGTGTAGAACAGACAATCTGGTCAACAAAACCAAATCGGTCTGAACATGTTGACATTTGCAAAGTGATCTTTTTAAATCACCCACAACACTCCCACTTATTGCACATACTAAAAAATAATTGTAGGTACATTTTAGCACCACCTAATCTGAATCTTTGAAGATCAGGTCCAAAGTGTGAAAAATGTCAGGAGGAATACAACTTTTTCCATGCAGTGTAACAAAACACATAAGCTGAGAAGTTCATACAAGGGGCAGGGAGACCAGTCTCCATCAGAAAAAGGGTAGCTGTCCCATTCCAAGGCGGTGAGAGGAGAGTGCTGCCTTTGCTCCATGTTGTCTTTCATCCCCGACAGGGATGATGCTCTAAATAAAAATACATAATAATTAATAGGATCGTAACTATATATTGTCACTAAACGGCACAGTTTAGGTTATGCTCACCTTCCGCTGTTTGCATGCTGCTCCTCATCTGAACTGCACTCACACACCTCCTGCTCTCCTCCTGCACATGTCTGCTCCTCCTTGCGTGGCTCAGTTTTGTGCCTCCTTCGTCGACGTCTCTTCTTCCTTCCAGATGAGCTTGAGCAAAGTTGATGGTTTGTTGAGTCCGGCTCTAGGACAAGGGGCTGACAGGTCTCTGCTGATGCTGCACATCTGGCTTCTCTGTTCCTGATCAGAACCTCTTCCGTGGGAATGGGTGATGTCACCAAGTGGGCGGGAATGTTTTCCTGTTTCAGAGACTATATTTACACACTGACCACAAACAGACACTGCCTTGGAGAGGTTTTCAAACCCTGTCATTAATTTGTACCGAACCAGTACAATGTCTTGCCTCATTGTAAAGTGATAAGAAGATTATACATAATAAGAAAAGCTTAGACTCTCTTCTCTCTGATATCCCAAAGATACAGCCAAGAGGCCTATGGTAACTCTGGAGGAGCTGCAGATCTCCACAGCTTAAGTGGGAGACTGTTGACATGACATTTACTAAACCTGCTCTGCACGAATCTAGCCTTAATGGAGAAGCAGTAAGAACAAAGCAACTGCTAAAAGAAAGCCAAAGGAAGTGCAGTTTTTCAAACACAAAGCAGATAACAAATCTGTGGCAGAAGGTGCTCTACTAAAAGGAGACCAAAATGAGACTTTTTGGCCAATATATGATTCTCTTATCACAAAGTAATAATGCACTTCCTATCTATAGTGAAACAGCGGTTTCTGGCCCCGATACCGATACACAATACCTGGCTTGCAGTATCGGCCGATACCGATACCATAATAATGTAAAATAATTGCCATCATGACTTTGTCAAGCTGCTGCCTACCTTTGTGAAGCAGGAAAAAATCTAATACAAAGTGAATCCAGTAGAACTTTTTACTGCCTACCAGGAGTGGGTGACAATAGTTGAATAAACCTATGGCTCTCAAAATGGTATCAGTGCCCTATTTGTTGGTACTCGCCGATACCGATACCACCATTTTAGGGCAGTATTGGGGCCAAGTCCGATACTGGTATCGGTATCGGTGCAACACTACTAAATACTGGGCAATCCTGGAAGAAGACCTGTATAAGTATCAGTCTCAAACTCAACTCCTGGAGGCTGGTGTCCTCCAACTACTCATTTGCATCAAACAACTAAACTGCCTCTATAACAGTACAGAGCTCTGCTACTGAGCTATATTTGATAAGTGTATTGAAGCACAGATTAATCTGGAAGTTGCACAATACTGGCCCCAAAGAACTGGAGTTTGGGGTATTTGTTTTAAAGTCTGGTAAAGACAAATACAATGTAAGCTTTAAATCAAAACATATCAATGTTAAAATGGCCAAGTCAAAGTCCAGTTCCAAAGAGAATCTGTAGGGGAAAATCTGCAAGCCTTGAGGAGTACCAGATGCCCTCTATCCAGTCTCACTAAATTTTTATTTATAAAGTAATAAAGAATACATGAATAAATGGTGGAAGCAAAGGTTTCACTTTTTAAACCAATTTTCATTATTCCTACCAACTATGGACTATTTTGTTCTGGACTATGACATAAAACTTTAAATAATACACCAAGCGATTGTAAGGTGACAAAAGAAGAAAAATCTTAGAAGTATGAATAGATTTGCATTTTACTGTACAGGTAAAACAGGGAACTATTAAGTCATGGTTAGTACATTATGTAAAACTCACACTGTTTTGCTCTGATTCTTGCACAAAAAAGGCCTCTCCATTGTCTCCAAGCTTCATGTGCAGCTCCACAGGTTCTCCGTTGATCTGGATGTCAATCTGCCAAATCAGAGTTTCACAAGTAAAGAAAACTGTGTGCCAAGTCTCCACACTCAGATTGCTTCAAGTTGAAACAAACAACAACAAAGTGTCACAGAAAACCACAACTCTGTGCACCGGATTTACCTGAAATTCAGAGCAGAGCCACGGAAAACAGCTTTGGGTTATTCAATCAAAAAAGCAACCAAATCACAACAAAACCCTTACTTTTATCTGAAGCATCCAAAATTTTTCTGGAGAAGGAGAGGTCTACAACACATTGAAGCTACAAGATGCAGACATTTCATATTTACATACAGTTTGTGTTCCCTGATGTGCTTTACAGAAAAGGACTGTTCAAACCACCAGTGAAACACCCGCAGACGACTTCCTGCCTCGTCTAACACTCCTGTAACTCTACAGCAGATGAAATCTACGAGGCTATATTTTTTGAATGAGCTGAGAGACTTATTTGAGCTTCAGCCTCTTGTTCCCATGTCAGAGGTTATAAATAGGACACAAAGGAAAAAGTTCTGTTGCGAGAGGCAGAGTAGTTTGGGATCATAATGTGTTTAAGATGGAAACAGAGAAGCAAATTGAAAATTCAAAATACAGTAAAACTCTAAAAATTGTGGATTTCATTAGAAATATTACTTTAGACTTGTTTAGAAGTGGGTAGAATATCCAGAAATTGCACCACTTCAGTATATTTGCACTATATATGCACTATACTTTAGTATATCACTCAAGTAAGATTAGTGTCACTTCAAAGAATACGTTGTTCTGCATTTATTTATTAGCTTAATGTAAACTGAAATATGTTTTATTAATTAGCTAAACCCCAAAACTAAAGATATCAACACAATGTTATTTAAACAGACATATAAGGGCTTGTTGTACGCACCACTTTCTCCCTGGAGCGCAGAACTCCAAGTTTCCCGAAGCGGACATGAAAAGGAGAGCACTGGAATGTCCCGTCAGGCTGACGGACCACAATCACGTCGATGCAGCCCGACAGGGTGGCCTGATTGATTCCTTTATACAGCTCCTTCACAGTCACCAGTACCTGGCCCGCCAGCTTCCCCACATAGTTCATGGTGTCTACCTGTTAGGATTATATACACAATTTTAGTATCGTTTTAATAAAGCTCTTATTTTAGATACGCTTGCTTTTTTTTTTTTTAGCTAAATAGGTCGCTATCCCCATAAAAAGGCTGCTGTTGCTCAGAATAGCCAGTCCCTAAACGTGCTGGTTCTGTCCTATTTCCCAAACGGTCCAGAGATGAATAAGACATATCCTGGGCTCTGCTACAGCGACCAAGGCTGCAGAGGTGGGAAGTCCAAAAGTATCCAGAACCAAATAAAGTCTGCAGAGATTAACCCACCTAAGATCAAATATAAAAGATTTAGTTTAGAACAGCAGTCCCCAACCACCGGGCCGCGGACCGGTACCGGTCCGTGGGTCACTTGGTACCGGGCCGCACAGAAAAAAGTAGTTTAGAGTGATGTTTTATTTTGAAAAATATAAAAAATTAAGGTATTCTCTCCCAATTACGTCAGTCGGTGCATCTGTGCCTCTTGACACAGGTTAATTCAGTTCAAGACTCAGCCTATCTAAAACATCCTATCTTTGTGAAGCGGGATTTTCTGCGGTTACAGCGACCAAAACAAAGCTACGAAGCAGACTGGACATCAGGAGCACACTTCATCTGTCATTTTCTCCGATTACGCCTAGATGGGACCGGCCTGTTGTTTTATTTCTATGCTGTTTGTATGTGGCTTTATGCCAGTCATATCATTTTTACTTGATCGTATACCCGCCCCCTTTAGTCATTGCTAAAGGAGTAAAAATCTATTAGCTTCATCTCAAAAACGTCAACAAGCAATCCACTGAACTTTGTTTCCAAGTTCATAAATGTTTCGTGTCCTATCCAGGAAGCTTTTTCAATTCAAAATGTCAGAAATAGCGTTGAGTTCGAAAACATACTAATTGTTACAGACGAAAGGGTTTTGCATGTTTTCTAAAGGCTTTATTGGCTACTGTATAAGAGCCTCGAACTCAACGCTGTCTACTGGTTTAGGTCACTGCTGTGGCCTGAGACTCCAGATGCATCCAACCCTAAAATGGGGCAGTTCCTCAGTGATACCTTGGTGTTAGTGCTTTAGAGGATAGATTATATAGCTGAGACTGACTAGTTAAAACTACTGTCTGTACAAACTCACTACGGAGGCAAGTAGACACAGAGCAGCTTTTTATATCGCACAGCAGGAGACTAATGATTTCAGCCCTCCTGGGTGAGGCCACAATAGCATGAAAACAATTACAAAATACTAATTCAAAATTGGATGCTTTACATTTGTTTATTATTAGAAAGGCACCAAAATGACTCTTTTAAAACACAAAAGCAGGATGGCAACGAATATGCAGTAAAATGATAACAGGAACCACATGACCATATAGAAAGCATCCATGTAGACATTTTCCTGGTAAAAAGAAGTTGATTTGGGGGTTAGATTTGTTTTTGTGTTGTCATTTGTTTTCTTTGGGAGTTATTGTACAGTAAACCAGATTATTTTCACAGGAAATGGAAGAAAGAGGCGGTGCACCACTAATGATCTTCCTGTGTTAAACACAGGAAGATCTGCTTTTATTTTGTAGATTGCATCTTTTGTTTTGTTTTCTTATCTTTATTCTGCTTACCCTGCCTTGAAAAATCACCAAAAATCTACATTAATCTTTGGTTTAAATACAGTCACATAAACAACAGCTAAAACATAGTTTATAAATTAGTAAAAAATATCAAAAGCTTTTCTGCATAATATTCAGCATTTTCAATTATCTAAAATGAACCTCTTTATAAAATTTTGAATCATGCTTCTTGAGTAACATTTTCAATGACTTAGACTATGCTAAACACATAAAATGTAATAAAATAAAAACATTTGCAACAGAAAGGAACACTTTGTATAATCTATGCACTATTTCTTATGAAAAAAAAAATGAAATGTACTGAAAGGTTGTTTGACACCAAGTTTTCTGCAAACTGTTTCATGATTATACAGATTTAGAACTGAAGCGCTACAGTATATTGGTCCAAACTGGGTCACAAGGTATTTCTAATATTTCAGGTACAGTATTCTACTGGGCCTTGGTGTGTCAAAAAAAATGTTCACATCCCCTCATGACATCATAGTTTAGCTGGAACACATCAGCTGTTTAGGTCTTTTTCATAAGAAATATATTATATATCTTATTAAAAAGAAATACTTCCTTTTACAGTATTTAATATAGAATCAAAAACAATCTAGACAGCAACGAGACAGAAAATAATTACTTCCACCTGAGACTTCCAAATGTTTGGTATTTCAGAAAGTGTCTATATAGAAAGTTCGGCATATGATTTTTTTTTTTCCTTTTTTTTGCTTTATGTAATCAAGTTGCAAAACTGCAAAAAAAAAAGGGCAAATATAAAGTTTAGAGTTAACAGTAGCTTATACTTAAGGTGGTTAAGGTAATATCCTCTTGATAAATATGGTGAATAGTGGCTATTGTATTCCTTTTTTCTTACGTAGTACGTAGAGTCACAAAGTCAGTCACTTGAAAACAAAAAAAGGAAATATGTAAAGTTTTGGTTAATATGAACCAAGAGGTACAAAAACAAACATCTTTGAGAAAACAATACATATTATTTTCTTTCTTCTCTTATGGAAATAATTGATAAAACTATTTAAAATAGAGAATGATGAGGCAAGTCTGAGCACAGCAGGAGGCATCATATTACACATTCATGGTACGTTATGTATTTGTGAATGTGAATGACCTGTCAGACATTAAAGCAAACAAACACTTTGTTTTTATAGATAAAACCCATCTACACTACTTCATGACACACCTTCCCTCCTCAGCTGCCTGTAGTTTATCCCTCAAAGACGTCACTGACCAAGGTGATTATATTCCCGCACCTTATCTAGAGGCTGCATTTGCAAGGACGTTTCTTGTAATTAGGAGCAATTTTTGAACAAGATATACTGTAAACCTATTATCTGCTTGTTTGTGAATTAAGCTTTTTGCCTAAACAATAGTTTGATACAAATGGGTGGAACAACAATGTATTTATACAGTTACCCTGGCTTTAGCTGCATATCAGCTGGATGGACTTTGACACCACTTAGTCAGACTGTGCTGAGCTCTCTGAGGTCTTACAGTAAGTGCTGATCTCTTACTGATAAATTGAAGTCTCTAGTTTGAGAAACAGACGCCTCACAGGTCCCCAACTGGCATCTTCATTAAATAGTACCCGCAAAACACCAGTGTCAACATTTACAGTGAAGAGGCGGCTGCGGGATTCTGAGCTTCTGCGGCTGCAGGATTCTGGGAAGAACGTTTGTGAGAAGCAGGA